ACAGCATTATACAAATCATGAAAAAAAATCGGTAATTTCGAATATCTTATTTTTATGCTTCATAAAACATATTAGGCTCTTGATAAAAATTACTACTTTTGTACTTTGTTCATAAAAAAATATTTTTATTTTATATTATTAACTTCCCGAAAGAGAAGTTTATGTTTTCATCTGTCGGGCCGTTTTCTTGAAATTAACTGTTGAAACAATTTTTTTTGCCAAATTTTATAAACCTTTTTAGACAATAGATATCATGGTCTTATAGATCATAATGAAATGTTACGACCCTACGACGAATAGTTTAATGTTAAAAATTTATCAAAGTTTGAGAAAATATTATAGTTAAAATTTGTGGCCAAAATCGTTTTTGTAATGTGTGAGTCAAACATCATCAATTCATTAAAATTTAAAATAATAAGCTACAATTTTAGGACAAACAATGCTGCACTTATCTGTGCAGCATTGTTTGAGAAAATTCTATTGGAAATCGCAATGTTTAGATTTAACGATAACTTTATTTACAAATTTTATAGTTAAAAATTTTATCTAAATATCTAAAACACAATTTCGGTTGATTAAGTCAATTATTACACATTTCGGGAAGCTCGTGTAACTTGCCTCAAGGCTATAATATAGTAAGATATATAAATGAATTGATAAAATCATTTCAGATGAACATAGATTAATATAATTATATTCAATTCTCAATAAATTTTTACTTAAAATATTTTTTACTTCAATATTGATATGAATTTTCACTAAAAAATTTTGAATGGTGATTTTAATGCCTGTCTTGAAAGCTTACTACAGCATCGATGCCATATATATTTTTTTTGTAAAGGGTAATTGGCAAAGAAATGTGATTAGTACACATCATAATTGAATATTAATTAAGCAGATGTAAGACATTAATAATCATGGTTTACATTAAAAATGCATCCACATACCCTTACTTACATTTGGCCCGACAAAGAATAACTATACCACATGTGGACCTCATCGGCGGCTGTAACTTTGCTATGTGATATCCGTAAAATGTAGGAACAATATCATTTTACCATTGTTTCTTATTCAATTTTTACTTCCAAAATAATTTATTATGATAAAAAATATATATATTAATTAATTGTAGCTTGAATGAAACCGCTTATAGATTTTTATTTCATGCACCTACCCATGCCCCTTTTTAATAATTGTGCTTACACAATTTCATTTACTAAACTCTTATCTTAAATATATCAAAAGTAATTTATTGTTGGTTAATATGTGTAAGATTCTAAATGAAAGAAAATAGATATCAACTTTAAAAACAACCAGACTCTTTCTGCTAACGTTAAGCGAAAATTGCGACTGGAACCATTATTAATAATAATGATTCCAGACACAATAATAATTTATTATTTTTATAATTTGGATTACAATTTGGCTCTGCAATTTTTTAATGGTAGGCGGCATTATTGAGTCGGTGGACATCTATTAAATGTTGCATAAACAATCGACCTTGGGCTGTTTAATTTTGGCGAAGCGTTATTGCGTTATTTCATGGAAGTTAATGGTATTTATTAATTGTTGTATGCTGTTTTTTGTCATTTTTTTTTTCAAACAGATTATGAACTTGATTTGTCAATTTTACCTTTAAATGCTTTTTTATAAATTTTAAATGCCATATCAACAATTGGCAGACCGATATAATCTTTTCGCAGAATATTCTATCTATACATTACTGTAAGAGAATAATTCCTGCATACAATTTTTAGCTTTTTTTCTAATTACTATTCTAATGATAATTATTTTTAGTGCTTACCTAGTTATAATTCTAACTAAATTAAAATTCTATCTAAAAAGTCTCATAGATTATTGACTATTTTTTCTATCAACATAAAAAGAGAGTAAACTCTTAGTTTTAATTTTGCATATTGTTCTTCATAATTACTAAATGTTTTTGAAACAATTTGTAATTGCACCTTGAAAAATAAAAAAAAATTCTGGTCATATTTAAATAAAAAAGCAAACAATTAAATAACAACGTTTACATGTGAGTAATAATAAAAAATCATGTAAATAATATTTGTAAATGCGTTTTTCTTTTGAAAATTCAGGAAACGGATGACAATAAATTTACTTAATTTTTGAATTCTGATGAATTTTTCTTCTTCATACGAAAAGAAACACTGGTCACGTGTAGAATTACAATAAGCTTCGAAGAACCCAACTTTTTTTTGCATACTGTTACTTTTGTCGGGTAGTTTGAATAGTCAGAAAATTAAGGTTTGTTCAATTTGACCTAACCAACACATTGTCTTGCCGGGCAAAAAATATTTTTGTTCGGCACAGTATAAATATCTGTACACATAAAAAAAGGTCCAGAAATGACCTGATATAAAGCATATATGTATAAAAAATTTAAATATAAAAACTTTTTTTTCTTTTTCCAAAAACAATCGTTTCGTCGTAGTAGAACACAAGTAGAAAGTTTTTTGAATCATTCAAATCGGATGTTTATTTCTCGCAAACACTGCCATTTTTTGCACTTTCTGCTCCGTATCTCCAAAACGGATGGACCTGCCTTTGCCAAAAACTAATTAGCACATCTCCCCATCATTACGAATAGAATGTTTTTTGGATCATTAAAATCAGATGCTCTGTTCTCTCAAAAACTTGATTTCTATTTTCTGCACTCTTTGCTCCGTAATTCCAAAACGAATGTTTTTTTTTAATCATTCAAATCGGTTAATCTGTTAATCAAAAATTTTGAATTTTGATTTTCGAATGATTACAACAACTTACCCTGCGGAAAATTAATTATATTAAATAAAGTTTATTAACATTTAAATTAAAGTAAAAAATAAAAACGAGCAAAAAGAACGCTAATATATTACGGTCTATTTTAGTGGAGAATTTACCCTATAATGTAGGTCTTAGTCACAAACGCGTTATTTTTTACAGTTTTATCTATTCAATTAATAATTTTATTATTAATTGAATTACATTTAGCGTCTTCACTAATATCGAGAAACAAAGATGCTGTTAAGAGAAAATACACTTTTTAATTAACATTTTTATACAGGGTTCAGTTGGAAAGCTATATCAATAGCAAATTTAATTAATGTGATTGAATAATTTATTGAAAAATTAGTACTATCCTGCACAAAAATATATTAACTGTTATTCAAGAATTATTGTACCAACTATTTGGAAAACAAATGTCCGTTAGATATAAGGATGATATGTTATGACATCGAACAACGGAATTCCAGTGAACGCGTCCAGAGGGGTTATTGCTATGGATCATACACCCTAGTTCCTTCCTCGATTGTATTCAAATAAAATTAAAAACAGAAACATAATGAAAAACCTCTTACTGAGATTCGACATATATTAAAATAATTAATTCATTGAATATAAAGGAAAAAGAAAATTTATTTTATACACAGTGCATGCAATTACACATAAGAACTAGTTAAATATACAAAAATTACACATACCAAAATATCTATTCCCAAAAGATTACGATTCGAAATTAGACGATTATTAATTTCGTGAAATTATTGGTATATTTCAATTATTTTAGGTAAGTTTGAGAATCTTCCGGTGCAAAGCGTTCTGTAGGGTACTTAGAGCGCCAGCAGACCGTGTCCAACGGACTCTCGGCTAACAGGTGACTGTGTCAATTCAAATTACGCAAAACATAAATAAATTCAAAATATAATATTCGGCGTAAATCTTCAAAAATAGGAATATGCAATAAAATTAAGGAGAAACGTTTTATTGACCACAAAAGTTAATGGTCTTCTGGTATTGACAACAAACATTAGCAAAACTTTGTGAGATTGTTTTTCACATGGGCAGTTTTACGTTGCCAGTTCACGAGTTGAAAAACCATCCGCTTTGTTTGTGTTAACGTCAGACCAAAAAACAAAAAATGTGGTTTACCAAAGAGCACTTCAATGAAACGGATAATTTGCGGATTCACTTTCATTTACTTAGAGAAGTTCAACTAAAAAACACTTCATTTTTGTAATCGAAATAAATTCATTACTGTTGTATAATAAAATCAAATTTTTCCTTTTCAAATATAAAACAAACAAAAAATTTCTTCATCTTTCTCACGAAACCATCTGGTGGCGAAACGGAGTTCGTCGGGTTTGCTAGTTTCAATATAACTGAGTAAGTTTCTTTTTAATAGATTGATTAATCATGTTTTTATATAAAGAACCATGTTTAAATCATTTCATATATAAACACTAGTTGCATGTGGTTTAACATAGATATGAATAAAGAGGCGTATAAATCTGGAACGCATTAATATGATAAAATAAATTATATTTATGTATCTATAACAATTAACAACACATTTAATTTGTAAGAAATTAATACTAATAACACTTATTAAAATATATCACACACACATATACATATTTTTCTTTAAAATTTTTCATATCACTTTCATTCACATCATCATATCTCTAGGCATCAAAAATTACATTGAAAATTTAATAGTATATATGAATACATTCAGCATTTTTTAAAATTTTGTTTATTGGATCTTCAAACCCCTGGTCCTGCCTTAGAAAAAAATTAACCAATTCTTCTTTTCTTCAATATAAGTTGTAATGTTTTTTGAGCCATTCAAATGTGACGCACCATTCTCTCAAAAACTGATTTGCCATTTTTATCTCTTTTCGCCCCATATTTTCGAAACGGGGCGGGACGAAATTGGGCGGAAATTAATCTTTCCACCAATAGGAATCGAATGTTTTATCGAAGCATTTAAATGGGTTGATCTGTGCTTTAAATGGGTTGAAAAATTGTATCCAAATATACACAAACACACACACTATATATGTAGACACATATACAAATTAGCAATTTCAGTGCATTTAAAAAATTACAACCGGTCTTTATTGTAAACATTTAAAATGCAAATAAAAAATACGAATTAATCAGGTTAAAGTATTAACGAGATACGATAAAAAGAATAATTAAACATTATATTTTACCTTTCCCGATGCTTTTTTATACCGCCTTATAGCCTCTCTGATCAAATCCCTGACGAGTAGTTCACCTGCACCGCAGGGCACAACAATGCGCACCGAGTCAAAACACACGGTCACTTTCATTTCGATTAACCAAAACCAAATTTTCTACATCCCTCTTAGTAAACCCCTTATGAAATCGTTAAATGAGACGTTCATCATAGTTTTTCACTGAAAAACACTGGCACTTCGAATGCATAAAAAATATAGACACCGAGATGCAATATTTGCGAACTGTAAACAACCGCAACGAATGGTTTACTCTCTGTTTACGGTTGCCATAGTCACAGGGAGTAAAGTGGACAAAGGGGAATAATATTAAGTTAATAATGAATTAACTTTAACACTCTTATGTTTTAAAATTAGATATAGATGCACTTCTCATAACTTGCACTGCATTCGGTTAAAGCGCCAAGACTTTAACAGCGAATTTATAAATTTTAATACACTTAAAACTTTTAACTTTTAAAAGCATGTACTAAATGAACGGCGCTATTCACAAAATCATGCAAAAGGGGCTACAAACAAATTATTCCATTTATTTAAAATTAAAAGCACAAAACAACACGGTATAACTCCTCTTCAACAACTACTTGCTTCCACTAACCCAAGGAACGTCATTTTTATTATTATGCGAAAGTATAGGTGTTGCCAGCGTACTCTTTTCAGTTCTCACCTATGATTTTATTTTAAATTTATAAAACGAGATTTTAAAATGATATTTAGATTCTTCATGTATAAGTAATCGAATAAAAGAATTTAAACTTCTTCAACTTCTTTTAATTTCAATTAATGTTTGTGCATCATGAATACTCGACGGAGTATTTTATCGCATCGGGCAACCATTTTATTTGATTTCAACCTCAATTTTTAAAGAATTTATACAATTTTAAATTAAAATCATATTACATAATTAATTTTAAATATCAAATAGTATACGTTTTTTATAATTATTTGTTAGATAATTAATTTATTGCCAATATCAAAATTGAAAGTAGTAACCATAAAACTTATGGTATAAATATATTTGTTTGCTTAACTTTTAACTGGGAAACTAATGTAAAATCACAAATGATTTATGAATAAAGCAGTAAATTTCATATAATATAATGGCATTAGTAAGGTCTAAAGGTGAACCACCAAAAGATGCTATTCGACTAACTGAGGACGAAGCTCTCCAATATCAGTGGAAGTTAATATGGAATTGGGAAGAACAGTCAAAAGTGTAATGATAATATCTAATGCTAATAAATGATATGATGTTCAACATCAAATTATATTTTCCAGATTACCTCTGCGATACGGTGCAGCAGTTTCAGGATTTTGTTGTGGCCTTGCAGGTTTTTATTTGAATAATCATTACAGACAGAAGTTAAAGTTGAGAACCTTTGGTAAATTGTCTAGTTTTTTACCTAATGTAATATTACCTACAATAGCTGGATCATTTTTTCATATGCAGGTATTTCATTAACGTCAACTGTACATAAGAGTTCATTTTCATTATATTGATGCAGTATATTTCTTATATCATATATGTTGCAATTGATTTTAGTTTGTGACGTCTGATATTCTTCTACATAAAACACAATGTCCAGTTTGCTTGGAGGTAAGGGCTATAGCAGGGCAGACTTTTCTTGGGCTTTTATATCCAGTGATACTTAGTCCAGTTGCAGGATTTGTGGTATTTGTATTTTGAATTTATATATATATATAGCCCGATGATTTTTTTATTGAATAGGCAAGTTATTACTCATGGTCATTTCCAAGCTTGAGCCAAGTCATATATGAATTATTACTAACATTACCATGCCTATTCAATTTTAATATCAATCATGCATAATAATATTAACATGTTAGTAAATTATTTTTATTATTATTGCAGAATGCTAACAATTATCTTACATACAATGTACCTCCATTCCGGAATCCTAAAGAAGTAGTTAAACTGTTTTGGAAATTTACAAAGCCAATAACAACAAGTATATCAATAATTTTAGCATTGCAAACATTGAGTGCAAGTTTATTAACTTATCTGGAACTAAATGTCTTGCATGATGTGGAAACAGAATTATTAAAAGCAGAATCTACGAACAAGAGCTAGTTAATTGGAAATATTAAATTTAGTGAATTTGAATTTAAATTTATCAAATAAATTTGTACATATATTTATGACAAAATTATGAGTATTAAAGAAAGATCTATTTCAGAGCTTCAACACATTGTACAAACTTTCAGTACTAATCAGCATTAATAGAATGAGTTTTTCCATTCAATAATGAATTCCAAACTAGAAAATATAACACATGTTTTCAATATTTATTACACAAAAAATACAGAAATAGAAAAGAATTGGCTCATTACTTTAAATTTGATTTCCATACTAAAAGAAATATAAAAAAATAATTGTACGATATTTAAAAGAAAATACTGAGAATTTAATCACCATTTTAAAATAAAATAGACTGAAAACATTACTCATTTGTTCATCTGTGTCGTCTGTGCCTCTCTCGAGATCTGCTTCTATTTCTGGAATGATCGCTCCTATGTTTTGACCTATCTTTTTCTCTACTTCTCTCTCGATAGTCACGTGAACTCCGTTCACGATCTAAATACCTATCTCTATCTCTGCCTGAGCTACGTTCTCCATGTCGATCTCTACTTCGCTCATGTTCTCTATTGTATCTTTCATTTCTGTCTTTTGCATATCTTTCAGCTTCTCCAAAATTTCTTGCATTCCCAGAATCATCACGACTGCGTGAAGCATTATCACGTGGATTATAATTATCATTTCTGTTATTATAATGAGAGTTATATACTTCTGGCTTTTTATTTTGTCGATCATATTCAGCAAGGCGTTGTTCTATCTGCTTCTGTACAGGAACTGGAATACGTGGGAATAGAGTAGAGAACCAATCTAGTTTTACAAGCCATTGTCTGAGAATGGATCCAATTGTTGTTATTTGACCACCACCAGCTTTTACATCAATTTCTTCTTCATCGCATAAGTATTCTTCATACCAGTCAAATAGATCGGGAGGGGGTTGGGTATATCTTATATACATAAAACCTTCAATAAAGAAAATCAATGTTAAATTTGCCAAAATAAAATGTTGAATGTGGATATTCATATTTTCAATCCATGAATAAATTTTACAATTGTATTACTGAATGTAGAATTAATGAAATTAGTAATTGATCGATTAAAATTGAAGATAATATATATATTACCTAAAGCACGTATATATGGAGAATCAGTATGGGTCAATAAACCATTAACTTGTTTTCGTGTTAACCTTAATGTGTACAACTTATATAAAAGGCAGAATGCTGTTGATACTATTCCACCCGCACCTACGCCACGAACCTACAATATATACATAACAATATTTAGTCCAATGGTTTATTATATAATAAATCAAAGAATTATTCAGTAATATCACTCACACCACCGCACATTCCAGTTTGCCCTGCTGTTTTTCGAGACCCTTTCTCCCATGGCTCAAGATGTTTTACTTGATAGTATATTTCATCAACAACTTCATGATAGGTTTTCAATTTGAATAAATGTACTGCAAATAGTTTAGTATAATTATATATATTTAGTTGATAGTAAAATTGAATTCATTGTATATATTTTACTTCGTATTGTATAGTACAACAGTATTATACTGTTTTATGTATTTTATTACATATTGATACACTTCCATACCTACCTTTGAAGTAACTCGAACTTTGAATGTTTGCCAAAATCAATGGATTTAAATTCATGGACTGCTCGTTACCCCATAATGGTAATACATTATGTTGTTTGCTGGTTTTGCCATTAAAAGGTCGTTGGTATTCTAAAATTATACAGGATGAAAATAAAAATATCAAATAAGTCATAAATTGAAAAACTTTAGTGTCCTCATTTATTAAATAAAATTATTCTCAAATATTAAGAACAACAGATTGAATTTCTAGTACCTAGACTCACTTTGTGTATTTAAAACAACATTGCGGTACCTTATTAAATATTTGCAAAACTCGTACTAATTATCATATTAAAAAATTATATGGAAAGCAACAAACTATGGGTGAATTATGTTTCTCCGAATAATCAAATATGCATAATTTATTATTTAAAACAGATCCTCCTCGTGTTTGAAATGGTATTTTACATAAATTACTAGAAAGAATGTCAAATTATATAAAATCCTCTCCGTAATTGTTCATACCAACAAGTTATGGATCCAGAAATCTGTCGTACCTTCTCCTTGCTCCATTTTAGTTTTCAAAATACAATGCTGTTATTGAAGACTACTAAATCTACCAAAGCCCCTTTTGTCCACTAATTTAATAAAAATGCAACGTTATATGCAGTTCATGAATTTTAAAGAATTTCGACACTAGTTAACACAAAATCAAAATGGCAACGTAGTAACCTAGGATAGTAACCAATGGGAACCAACGCTTGCCAACAAAATAATGGCCAACAAAATAGAAGGGGCGCTGGAAACTTGACAGTAATACTTTTATTCGTCTAATTTGTTTTACAAATATTATTTTTATTTTAAATTCATATGGATATGAACCAATACTAACAATTAGAATTATTAATATAAGTATTATTATTGTATCATATTGCTGTCAAATGTTTAACTCTCATAATTTGAAAAATCAAGTATTCGAAAACTTCTTAATCATGTTGCAAAGTGGTTGCAAGATGTCACACTAAACATGAAATAGAGGGCAACATGACAGAAAAATATCCAACCAGGCGTCAATGTTTTAGTTAAAATATTATTTTTAAATGTTATGCAATTGGATAGAAGATTGTATTGAAGCCGATAAAATTTCAATACAATTGTATTTCTAAGACGTCGAATAGAAATGATGTTTATTTGATCCTAACGATTTTGGAAAAATAAGTTTTTTAAGTGATTATGTTGGTGTAAATTAACAATGGCTGTTATAAGAGAAAAAGAAAACACTTCAAAAAGGTTTAATGGCAAAGTTCCCGTGCTATCTTTTAATAACAAAAAAATGTCAAATACGGATAGTGAAGATATATTAGACCCGCTTTCAGAAGAATTACGGAATATTCAAAGTGTTATTCATCTTACACGTGGAAATATTGATGCGCTCAATGCCAAATTTGCTAGGTTTCAAAACCCCCCTTCGATGTATGTTACCGAATATCAAGAATTGTCAGCTAAACTGCAGGAATTCGAGATCAAAGAAAATAAATTGATTGAACAATTAAATGAAACTAATAATGAATTGAATAGTCCGGATTCTCCAGAGACTCCCGAATTTTTGACAGTTACCAAAGCACCTAAAACTTTATTACGAGCTTATTTGCCTTTCCAACAGAGGACTAGCGTGGAAGTTAAACCTGGACTTAGTTTAAGAGAGGCTCTACATAAAGCATTAAATTTGAGAAATTTAACTTGTGAAATGTGTGAAGTCTATAGAAACGAATCAACTCTTTTTCCCATTCCCTGGGATTCTGATATTAGCCAAATTGATGCTGATGAAGTCACTGTTAAAATAGTGGATAAATATCAGTGCTATTACACTAGTGTGTCCCATCAATTTATGAGAAAAACTTTTTTTTCTATAGCCTTTTGTGAATGTTGTAGACGCTTATTATTCACCGGATTTTATTGTAGCCAGTGTAATTACCGGTTTCACCAAAGGTGTGCTGATAAAGTGCCTGTTCTGTGTCACCAAGATCGTTTGAAAGATGCATTCTATAGACAATTGTTGGCTGAAAAAGATTCTGCTGCTGGGATTATTTATCTCCCACCTGGATTTAAATATCAAAATCAAGACTCTGGAAAGCACCCAAGGACCCTTAATCCTAGTGATAGGTCTAGCTCAGCGCCCAATGTTTGCATGAATATGCTTAAACCTATGACCTTAGCTGAGCATCAATTAGCACAAGCACATTCGAATCTACATGCTGCTCCTGTGATATCAACAGCGCAAAGTGGTACTTCTTCAGGATCTACCCAGGTATATATTATATACAGTAGAACCTCCTTATTCGCGGGGGATGCGTTCCGTAAAAATGCCGCGAATAAAGAATCCGCAAATACAGGATGGCATTTTGTATGGGATTACGGGAATACGTTCCAAGATGACAAATAATCCGCAAATATTGAAAAATCCGCAAATATAGGATGGCATTTTATATGGGATTATAGGGTATACGTTCCAAGGTGTCAAAATAATGAAATGTACATACATAAAAAACTATATATTTACTTATATTTATAAATGCATTAGATTAATTACTTTATATATTTGATTAATTATATTATACATTAAACATTTTGATCATTTTTGTTCAGAAATAGGCAAAGATTTGAAAAACTTTGTAATTTTTTCTTGCTTGGTAGTTTTCAAGAGTTTCTCCAATTCAGACTGATAAACGGCAGTCACAACCGCAATTTGCCTCTTAAAGAGAATACTTCTCTCCATAGATGGATCAATGTTCATAAAAAAATCACACAGATCATTTGCCATTTTTAAACCTTCACTGAGACTCCTTAAATTAAATGTTTTCAGTGCACGCTGAAGCCTCTTCTTCATTGGGTTGTGAATTTAACATTTCTTCCAAGTCGGTTTCAGACAAATCATTATCACGTGATTCAAGCAATTAGGTCTGTTAGCACGTGTTACTCAATCACAATATTTGCTACGAATGAGTAAAATGAAGAAATAAAGCATGCATAGCAGCATTTACCACAGAAACGAACAATATTAACCCTTTCGACTCGAATGCCGCCGGTCCGGCGGCAAAATTAATATATATCTCGAAATTCGCGAGTGGAAAGTGTTAAAGCATACATATATGATTCATTCATTCCCTGTTTGCTTACTTGATCAAAAACGCTGATAACGGAGAGGACGGCGAACGCAACGCAATTATATAGGTCAAAAAGACGGCATTTACAGAGGATATTGGATTTCATATACACTGGAATCCGCAAATAACGAAATTTCTAGCCGCGAATAAAGGTATCGGGTCGCAATTTTTTTGGCCGCGAATAGCGAAAACGCGAATGAAGAAGCCGCGAATAAGGAGGTTCTACTGTATAATATTTTGCATTATTAAATGTGCCTTTGCAATAATATGTAATAAGTATTTATAAACTTGAAAATTATACCATTTTTGAATGTTTTGTACATAATTCTGGAGGCTTTATATGTATATTTTGTGTAATACACATATATTTTAAATAAATTATATATATATATATATATATATATATATATATATAATATGTGAATATTTTAGAGCACACAAGCTTCACCAACTGGAACCTTAAGAAACAGAAGACCCAGAGCAAAATCTGCCGATGAATCTAATAAAAATCTTTTGGCACAAAGAGAGAGTTATGATGATTGGGTATGTGTAGATGTTTCTAATCTGAGATATTGAAATTTAGCATTGTTATTACTACAGAAAATTTAATAATTCAGGTAATACATGCTGAAGAAATACTCATTGGCCCACGTATTGGTTCGGGCTCATTTGGGACTGTGTACAAAGCCCACTGGCATGGGCCAGTTGCTGTGAAAACTTTGAATGTAAAAACTCCTTCTGCGGCTCAATTACAAGCATTCAAAAATGAAGTGGCTGTTTTGCGTAAAACTCGTCACTGTAATATTCTTTTATTTATGGGCTGCGTAAGTAAACCATCATTGGCAATAGTCACTCAGTGGTGTGAAGGATCCAGTCTTTACAAACATCTACATGTTTTTGAAACGAAATTTGAACTTCTGACTCTGATAGAGATATCTAGACAGTCTGCTCAAGGCATGGATTATTTGCATGCCAAAAATATTATTCATAGAGATCTTAAGTCAAATAATATATTTTTGCATGATGACCTAACAGTTAAAATTGGTGATTTCGGTCTAGCGACAGCTAAAGTTCGATGGTCTGGTTCTCAACAATCAAATCAACCTACGGGCTCTATTCTTTGGATGGCTCCAGAGGTAATACGAATGTCCGAAGAAAACCCTTACACATTTCAATCTGATGTTTATGCCTTTGGAGTTGTCATGTATGAGTTGTTAGCTGGACAGTTGCCATATGAAAGCCATAAAGACCGTGATCATATATTATTTATGGTTGGAAGGGGTTATTTAAGACCAGATCTTAACAAATTACGAACTGATTGCCCAGCAGCTTTGAAAAGATTGACAGATGATTGCATACGATTCAAAAGAGAGGAACGACCTCTGTTTCGTCAAATTCTTACTTCACTAGAAAACTTGATTAGAAGTCTGCCAAAAATTCACCGTTCTACCTCTGAGCCAAATTTAAATCGCACACATTTGCATTCTGATGATTTTGTATATACATGTACAAGTCCTAAAACTCCAGTGAATTTTCATTTTGGACAATTTCCATTTTATAATACAACTGCTGGTAATATTTAACAAAATAATAGCAAGAATTTTCTCCTGATTTCATTGCCTAGTGATTATTTTCATATACATACTTATATTACAATAATTTTTTCTTATTGTATCACTCCCTTGAACATTAACAAGACAATATAAAAATATTATTTTAAGGTTTCAAACATTTATATTTTTAAAAATGGGCTAGGATATAGCTGAAAAATTGTCTGATGATGCAGTTCATCAGCATCCATGGATTTTTAGCAGTATTAAATTCATATTTTAGTTAATATTATCAAAATTTTATATTTAGTATTTAAATTCATTTTCAATTTGTATTTAGCAAATTTTAATCATTGATACAGCTACACAACTATTTTTAAGAATTAATAGATTGTTTGCAAATTTATGTTACATTATATATATATATATATATATATATATATATATATATATGTGTGTATATATACACATTTTAAATAGGTTTTATGGGTAATCGGACAATTTTTAATATTGATGAAAGGCGTTCTAGTCTAAATTGTAAATTCAATTCATATGTTTTCTTTAAAAATGTTATTTTTGTAGTAAAATCAATTTAGGATTTGAAAAAGTAATCACCTTCATCTACTTATCTATAAAGATATTTTTTTATTCAATACCATTATTTATATTATATTATCTGTAATTATTTGTTAAATTTAGTTGCTCAGTCTTAAGACAAACTACTCATTTCTGTGATATGTGAGTTGTGCAAAGATTTGGCACATTATAAAAACGTTTGTGAAAGGTATGATTGGTGTGGTGATTTAGTGATACATGTAAATGAGAATATTAGGATAATTCTAAATTGTAAATTATAGCACAATAGTTTCATATGTCTTTTAGGAGATAATGCAAATTTCGTTTTCAATTAAGGATAATTTTTGCTTAGCATATAGTTGGCAGATTATTTACTACTATTGTAAAACACTGTCAAGTTCCTATTTAGTAATTTTTCAAGGATAATAATTAAATTTATGGATTTTTAAGTGAGCTAAAAAGTACTCAAAAATGCACCAGAGACTTTGTTTGATATAAACAAGAAAAAAAGAAAATGACAAAATTGTTATTTACAGTTTCTGAATTAATTGTGAAAATATTATACCCTTATTAGAAATTTCACGCATTAGCTTCAAAGTTCTATCTTTCTGAATTTATAAGAATTTAACAATATCAATATTATCAATTCCTTCAAATGCCAACTATTGCATTGGAAAAATTGTCTGCATACGTTCTAAAATACAAGGGAAAATAATTATATATACATACATGTATATATGATATTGATAAATGATACTATTAATCTTAGCTTCATCACATTGGTCATTATAATACAATGATATATGTAAATAGTAATTCATCATTAATAATTTGTTTATAAGTTATTTAATTTTTCTTGTTTTTTTGGTATTTAGCTTGCAAAAAGATAATTTTGCATTGAGGGATTTGATTTTGCATCTATGTCCAAGTTGTTAATTTAAAAATATATGTGACTGAATTTATGTATTTTTTATATTATTCATAAAAACAAAAGTGGTTTCCAATTTTGGTTGCCGCAGTCTATTTTTGCATTTCATGGTTCAAGATTATATTAAGTCTATTACAAAGGCGGCCTCACACATGGTGTCTCTTCATATTTATCATAACATGTGTTTTAGAAAAAACGTAAAATTGTTTTGACAAATCAGAACAATAGCTTTTAGAATTTTATTTATTTATTTATTTATTTAATTAATTAACGCCAATTGTATATACACACATACACACGTGTTTAGAAAAAAGAATTCAAATAGTAATAAGTAACAATTTTTTTTTTAAACCTATGATTTCTTGTCAACGTTTCGGAACTATACGTTCCATCTTCAAGGCATCTGTAAAGATAAATTCCTGAACGTCGATAATAAATCATGAATTTTATAAGGTTTTTTATTTCTGTTTTAGATTTTTTGTTTAAACCACAACACGATACATACAAAACCAAGACTCGTCAATTTAATGCATTTAATTACAATACATGTAGAGTTTTGCATTCTATTTATTATTGAACAAAATTCACATCATTATAGTTGCATATTTATTGTTTTTAAGTTCTAAACTTTTGTTTTAAGTATTCGAATCCTGTTTTCCCTATTTCTATTTAAATCAAGGGTAATTGGAACATATGTATGTTGTATCATTTGCGTTTATTTATAATATAAGTAACAAAATGATAAATGGAATTAGTCATATATGAGCACTGTCTATTATATTTATTTGTTTTCATTTCACTTACACAAATTTATTTGCCGTTTACTTTTATGGCAAAATTATATTATATTAAATCGAAAACATCTGTGTGAGAACGATCTTCTGTGATAAAGTATTATTACATTGTCGTGCGAATTGATTTAATATAAAAACATTCCTATTAAGTTTTAAATACTTAATATTTCAAAAATTTAACTAAAACCTGATAAAGATAGATTAGACTGCCTAATTTGCTGCAGAAATAAATGAAATTATTTCAATACGATGAATGTGTGTTTGAACATAGATGTACTACTTTATTCTGATGTATAGCAAACTCTTAATTAAATTATATTTGAGAAGTCAGTATTTCACTATTAATTAATTACGAGAAATTGTTTAAGGTGGCTAATTTATTATTTATCTGCGTATAATATTTAAATTTTAGAAAGATTCATCTGCTTTATGCTACTTGCTCATTTAAATTTCAGTTTTAAAACACATGAACAGTAAACACGTGTTTCCTGTTTCTATTCAATTCCACAATGAATCGCCGAAAGTTATAGCTGATACTTTTATATTTTCCGATTTTTTATAAAAAAGAATAATAGTATTAAATGATTATATTAATATGATAAATTCTTTTGCAAGCCCTATGTTTTCAAAACATCATTGATAATTTTCCTAATGAGAAGTTTTATGTTTACTCAACGAAATCCGATTTTCCAATTATATGTTTTCTCAACGTTCCAAGTCATTCTGTATATGAGATAAAATTTTGGAAAATTATGTTCGTATTTCAAAAATTTAAACACCATTTGATGTAACTCGATGGGACCCGGGCTTAACAATATTTTGCGCATCATGGTTTCAACTTGATTTTATCAAATTGAGTGAAACGTGTTTGAAAAAAAGTCCATGGTTTCAACTTGATATTTATATTATATTAAAATCTAATCTAATTTTCATAAGTTAATTTAATCGAATTGTTTATTATTACTTACACTATGTAATTAACAAATGACCCCACGACATATAAAATATTTATACTAATGTGTAATAATCAATGGTTATTATTGTGTAATAATTAATGATTATGTGTAAAAGTAAAAAAAGTTGCGCTCGTTAATGAATTAATATGGCTTGGATTTATAATCGCGTCTGTATTTTAGCAAAAAAAAAAACAGAAAATCCCCAAAAAAACAGCGATTCGTATCTTTGATTCTCTTAATTCAAATACATTGTTGACCTCTGACCCATTCCGGCAATGGTATAAACATTTACAAAAAGTGTTGCAAAGCAGTAATTTAAATATTTTCTAAAAATGGAATTGATGAAGCTCTCATTTATCTTTTTAAATTTAATTTATGCAGGTAATATTAAAAAAAAAATAAAAAGGATAATTAACTATGTATAACATTTTAAAATCTATCTATTGTAGCATCAATGGAAGAAGTTCCAGATGTGTGCCCCAATATAGTGATTAAATCAATGTGGGGTGGACGTTCATCCATACAAGTTGAATATATGATTGTTCCTATAAAATATGTTATCATTCAACACACGGTTACTCCTAGCTGTAATACACTTTCTGAATGTGCTCGCATAGTTACTTCCATTCAAGATTATCATATGACTCAATTGGATTTTCATGACATCGGTTTAAAGTAAGTTTTCTTTTAGAAAAAAAAACAAAGAACTTATAGAATATATTTTTAAAATATGAATTACAATAGCTTTTTAGTTGGTGATGATGGAAATATATATGAAGGTGCAGGATGGTATAAAATTGGAGCTCATACATATGGTTATAATTCAAAATCTATTGGCTTAGCTTTTATTGGAACTTTTGGAGGTAAATTATAAGCATGATTTTCATTAAAATTTTTACTAAATACGCATTGTTGATAAATTTCCAGTTCTCATTTAAAAATAGGAATAGAGAAGTATAACCTAATGCCCATAGATTTTAATAATGTATTATATAATAGTAAATTTATTGATCCTATCTATGGATCCTATAATGAAACATTTATTAATCATCTAGGTAATAAAATATTATTTTTTGTACTTGTTAATTCTGTTTAATAAGGCTTTGAAGCTTTACATCAATTAATTTGAATCTGAATCTACATCAGATTCCTGGTTATTTTTCTGTGCATTGAGTTTTGCTATAAGTTCACGTGCCGGGTTGAACATTCCCTCTGTTTGCATGTTACAAATATAACATCTTGTAGATTTCTTAAAATTGTTCAGTGCACATTTCTCACAGAAATAATGCTTGCACTTAGTTACTACAGGGTTTGTAAAGCTCTCTCGACATATAAAGCATTTAAATGGAAAATCTTCTTCATCGTCATGGATTTCCCATTTACTATCATCTTCATCAATTTTGTTTCCATTTTCGGTTTCTAATTCTAATTGCCACCCATGTTTATAATCACCTCTGTCATGCAAAAATTTACAACTATCTCCAAAGCCACAAAATCCTGTCTCTTTGTAATCCTTACAAATATCAGGCTGATAATCCCATCGGACAGTTGCTCTTAAATGTGCAGGAGCTCTTATTGGTCCTTTGCGAACCATACCAGAACTTGCATTGCCAGCAGCGCGGTCTCTTTTCTTGTAATATTGTGCATAATTATTTAAACCTCGGTATATTTTGTCATCAGCCTTGCCAGCTAATTCGTTATTAATAGCTATACTTTTTTCATAAATAGCTTGTGCATCTTTATCAAGTTCTGTTTCAATTTGCAAAGTTGATGTGGCACCTTGATCAGACGGTCCATTGGGAAGAGCTGTTTTATTAGATTTATAAGTTACTACTACAGAATCTTCATCGCCGCTACTTGTACTTAAATTTTGTTCTGTTCGCTGTTCACTTTTAAATTTGTTTGTTTCTTGTACATTTGGATTTGGTCTGCGGATTTTCACGGGATTCTTTTTAACAGCTGAATCTTGATCGCTTAATGATTCTTCAGAGGAGCTACTTTTGCGTCTCCTGGTTCCTTGATTTCGTTTTATTACACGCTTTTTAAATCCCGTAACTTCAGACATCTTTTAACTTATTGTTAATAATTTACAATATGAAAAATTAACTAAATAAATTATTTATAATATTATTTGTTTTTTGTTTTAACATAAAATCTACATTTCATTCTTAAATTATACTCCAAATTCAAATAATATTATGCATTTAAGTTAAAATAATATATTATACCTATATAGTAGTTTTAACTGCTTAGTTAATAATAAGACTTAAATAAATGATAAAACTTTTTATAATGGTTCAATATTGACATTTAAGTTTGATGAAATTCAAAACATTTCCATATTTACGAAGTTCACACACATGTTTGACGTAAGTCGACACTGTGCATACGTATGACCATAGATAAACAAGTATGACTATAGTCTTTATGACAGAGTTATAGTTGAGTCTCCACGAAATAATAAATGCGCAAATAAATACCCTAAATCATATGTACGTACAAAATTCGATGTACGTGATTTACGATTTACATGAGTTATGAATTTAGAGTGTCCTTTTAGTCCATGAACTCCTTTTCTATTCAATTAAGTAAAATCGTCAAAATAAATTTCAAAGTTTTTAAATTTTCAAACATGATATAAAGTTGTACTTTTATCACAAAAGATATATTTACCACTTTTTCAACATTTGTCCAAGCAATTTATCATAATAATTATGACTAAAATTAATTCATTAGTATAAATTATATTTTCTACTCAAGACAAACTGCCGTCTGAAAAAGCACTAACTGCCGCACAAAATTTACTGGACTGCGGCGTTGCACTAGGAGCACTTGATGATAGATATAAATTACTAGGACAACGACAAGTTATAGCAACTGAAAGCCCTGGACTGAGGCTATATCAAGAGATACAAAACTGGCCACATTGGAAGAGCAAAGCTTGATAACCAATTAATATCTCAATAGAATAAAATAAGAAACTTATAAACAGATGTACTAATTTTGAATAAAAATATTTTGCCATATTGATTAATAACTTGCTAATATCAAGTTCAAATTTAATTTTATTTATAAAAGAATCTTAATATTCGATGTCAAAGAAGATGATACGAAATGAAGATCAACATCGACAAATCGAAATTCGGAAAATGAGTGTATATTCGTCTATCTCAAAGTAAGTGCTGTTAGTATGATATCGAAAAATATAAAAAATAGGAGTTTATTTAAAAGAAAAATCTAAAAAACATGTTTTATTCAGAAATTGCAATTGAGAAAGCAAATGACCACTGAATTGTATACACGGCGAACATACTCGTCAATACATAAAAGTCTGTTCTTTTTCATAACGAGTATGACCGTCGAGCGCAGTTAATTGGTTGATTGAATTATTGTAATATTGCTAAACATATTAAGTAATAATGGATTTGGCACAATAGAGATCATCTATAGTGAGTGTTCTTTTACTGAAGGAAAAAATAAAAAAAGACAACATTTGGAATATGGCATTGTATATATAAAATTAGAGACATGGACTCTGAAGATCGTCGATAAAAAAAATACATTTTTTTATTTTTTTCTAATTATATAACTGAAATTTTAAATTAACTGCAACTAAAGGAGAGAAAAGGATTATATAAAATGTGATGATAAGTTTTCGAATTGGCCGCCAGAGCTAAAGCCTATCGCACCGTAATCTATGGTAGACTGAATGATCTATGTTATTTATGTTTTCTATGCCTATGTTTTCTTTTGACATTGACAATTCTATGTTGACAAACCTAAGTTTAACCTAACTTTTTAGTGCATATATATACGTATTTATTTCAATCAGAAATTTTAATTGTTAAACTTATAGAATTTTATTGTGGAACTATATATTCGAAAATAGGGCTAGCGTGCTGAAGAAAAATGTCGCAAAATCTTCTGCAAGATATATTACAAGGTTTTGTAAATGAAGAAAACTTATATCGTTGGTTGATAAGTGACGTAACGGACAATGTATGTTTGCAAATTTTGAAAAAGATGTTCGTTGTAATAACTCAATATTTAGTAAATCATGTACTTTTAGGTTTTGTCTGCCACATATAATTGTACAAAAACGGATTTTATATTTTACTATCTGAATTTTGTGAGAAGCCAAACAAACAGGTATCTGAATTAAACAGTATTTTGCATAAAATATTTACATAGTTTGCCCTTATTGCTCAAAGAAAATGTGTTCTAAAGTTATTTTCTTTACATATATCACTTCAAATTCTAAATAAATCTTTCATAATGAATATTCTTCCAGAGGTTTTATTGTAATACTTTCCTAAATATTACTGACACTGTTCAAACTATTTTAGATTTTTAAAAAATGATGAAAATCCAAATGAATCAAATGATAGAAGCAGAAATTATACAGGATCTACTCACTTTTCCAATAGTGCGCATGATTCTAATACAAGTTTATTACAAAATGAATCCTATATCGAGGAAGGAACAAATATTCAAGAGAAAAATATTATTGGTCCAAATAAGATTATACATAATTCTCTACACATTGACAATGCTTTTAATGAGAACGCTTTCAGCCCAGTTCCTCATTCTGGTAACACAAAACTGAATGAATCATCTGGATCAGTTTATTTCAGTACTCCAAACGATCAAAAAAAGAGAAACAACTCATTTTCAAGTAAATCCTATTCAAAATCCCAAAAGTCAATTGAAAGGGTTTCCATAAATTTTGGTGATTACATTCAGAGTGCTTCTAGCAAAAAACATAAGCACCATTCTGCAAATAAGTCAAGAAGTATAAATACTTCAAATGAGAAATCAGATTTAACATGCAGTGTAGATCAAAACACTACTGAAAATAGTTATAGTAAAGATATTACAGGGACACCTGAAAGTAGTAGATCAAATTTAGATAGCCAATTTCCAGCACTTGGGGAGAGACTTTCATTTCAGAAGAGTAACTCAGCATCTAAAATAAATCGAAGCAAGCGTATAAAACCTACTTCACTAAATTTTAGTGACTGTGATATAAATAAAAGTGATTCTATCAAGACTAGTTTCAACGACATTAATGAAAGGCAACAAAACTGTAATTCATCATGTAATAATTTCCAAATGGAACGGTCTATTCTTCGAAATGAAAAAGATTTTATAAAAAAACAATTTGAGAATAGTAAACACATAAAAACGATTTTCATTAATCCAAAAGAAAAAAGTACTGTTGTGAAAGTATCAGATCCTGGAGATATTTTGCAAGTCACAAGAAGAAAGGAATTAGATATTTTAGCAAATATTTATAATGTGATACTAAATAATAATTTAGTTGTAAATTTTTTTAGTGAATTAAATTTCATATTTTCTTTGTTGAATGTTGAGAAAATTGATGACCAAACAGATAATTCTGATCTATTTCCATCTTTCCATAATTGTATATACTTTTGTATAAACATTTTACGAGAGCAGAAACAATTTTTTATTCTGCTTGACAATGATACTTTAAGAGTATTAAGTGATAATAAACGAATACAAAATTTTAATCATGATTTGAATTTGTTTTTAAAATGTGTTTTAAAGCGAAAAAGTGTTCTCCCAACACCTATAGATGGTAGCTTAGGGAATAAAAACAATGTGTGTTTTCAAAGTGAAACAGACAATAGAGAAAACTTTACATCTGATCAAACATTTCGTGCATTCAGAAAACAAAGAGATTTATTTTATGATATGCTTAGGTAAGATGAAATTTATATTAGTATTTTAATATATGAAGAATAGGTATTGATTAGGTTAAATAGGTTCATATTTTGAAATATTGTAAGATCTAATGTAATGTCTAAATATCATTTACAGAAATTGGGAATCAATGCACAATACACCAAACTATTCTTTTGCACTATATGATTCAACTATGATGATGCTATTCAATGTTAATGGGACATTAATACCAAATAAAATGCAGCAGAGAAAGTATAATGAACATAATGAGTTTGGTCGCATAAATGTTATTTATAATAATGTTTGTAATATGGCACATTTAGCAAGATTATTTGTCAAACAATTATTGGCATCTTGTGAATCTGAGGTAAAAGGAATATTTAATTGAATCGGAAATTATTATTTGAATATATAGTATCAAGACAGTCAGTATAGTATGTAGCAAAAATTAAAATATTAAATCTGGATTATGTCTATTCCGTCAGAAGCTATAAAGCAATATTTTACAATTACATATCTTCTTTAGTTCAAAGTAAATTGAAAAATATATTGATACTAAAAAGTAAAAAATTGGATATAAATTCATTATGTAACTTATTTAATAATCACAATTGTAGTAAATTGTATTTGTTTATATATAGCATACAGAATTTAATCAACTTCTCATGGAACATCTACCAAATGTAGATCCTAACCGATTATCACGACTTAGTAACAGATTTACAACCAATGCGACTACTACGAGTGATGTAACAGCTTTTGTTGGAGTACAAGAATTTTTCAGGTGTATATTAACAAAATATTTAAACGTTTTAATAATTATGATTTTCAAAATTTTACAAATTTTAAATTATACAAAATGTTTTAATATTTTTTTAATTTTCAGAGACTTCATTCAGTATAGTGATAATCATACATTTTTGGAACACTTAAAAATTGTCATGTCAAGTGAAATTTTGGACATTAATTCTGCATGCCTTGAATTTAAAAGCAGCTATATATTAATAACAAACATGGATCATAATACTGAGATTGAAAACAAACAAACAAGAAGCATCAGAGAAGATGATATGCAAAAAAGCTTAGAACTAGTTAAAAGAATATCCTCTTTAAGACTATTGTCTAAGTTTTTGGGATTTACCACAGATTTGCCTTATAATAATAATGGACACAAGATGAAATCTCTCACATTTAATGAATTGAATAAAATAGAGGTAATATTGAATTTTAGGTGATGTATACTCATATCATATCGGATCATATAAAACTATCTCACTTATCTTACTACTTATGCAAAACAAATACTACTTATATTATTTTCTTACTCTCTTTCAGTAAGTGAGTGATAAGATAAGTGAGAATGTTATTCCGAAACTAGACCTAGTATTTATTGTAAAAAAACATATTTTTAGGTATGTCCTCTGTTGGATCTGAATTCAATAATTGATGCATGTTCCGATGATTTTTCAACTTTGATAGTCATTCAGTGGATAACAATGTATTTGTCTATGTTAAATGAAGAAACTCTTATTACAGACAAATACTGCAATATCTTAATGAAATTATTTAAAATATATGCCAAATCATTAATTTTGAATGATTGTAAAGGGTTCACAATATATTTTAAATATTGCTTCAAGATAATCTTAGGAAACTTTTTTGATTTACCTAATGTTTCTATAAATTTTTATGAGTGGAGATTCTCTACACCATTAAAAGAATTAAATCTGGAATATGATTTTGAAGACCAATTTCATCAAATTAAAATTGAGAGCAAGGAAATGGCCAGATTTAAATCCAATGATAGTCTATTTAATGCATTATTACCTTCGGGGATTAAATTTTTAGAAAAAATCCTATATCAAAATGTACCAACTCTGAATTCACTGAAAAGTGTTATCAAAGGATTCAAAACATACAACAAAGGCAGAATAAGGCATGTGACACCTTTTACACACCAATCAAGTTCAAAGGAAAAAGATGAAAAAAAGATACAGGTAAATAATGAAAAATTGATATAAAATTTGTAGATTGGCTCTGTGATGCCTAAATCTATAAAAATATTCTTGCAGATTCAATTAGAAAATAATTTCTTCAACAACCATCCATCATCCGTCAAGAAAACTGTTGAATTTGTCACAGACAGAATATTCTCTGTAATCATAAAAGAAATAATTTCAAAAGATATTACACAAGCAAAAGAAGCTGCTAGTCTCAAATTCTTAAATATCAAGACAACTAACAAGGTAAGTGCTTTTTGATAAATATATATCAATATGGCAAGAGATGTAATATCAGTTATATTAATGAATTCTAGTTAGAAGCGGAGACACAGTTAATTTCTCTGTGCACAGAGTCTATTAAAGAATTAATGGCCATGTCCAATTTAACAATTCAGAAAATTGTGGATGAAAGAGTGGAGGTGACCATTGTGAATTTACTTCCAATCGAAATGTTAGCCTCAGTAAAGAGTATGTGTGCAAAGATTTGCAAAAAAAGGGTTTCAGTGAAGTGCCAAGCATGGCTCAAAGAAAAAGCATCAGACATCAGTGAGTGTATGATATTATATATACAAATAAAATTGGCACTGACCATATGCAGAAAACTGCATAGTATTTTAAGTGCAATAGGCAAACTCCCAAAGTCGAAGGAGCAAATATCATCAACACGAGTGCCTCTGCCTTCAATAGATACATAATTAATTACCATTTTTAAACTTGATTAAAAATTTTCATAACATATTTTAGAGGTTCTGTGCAAAGATATTGATGGACAAGTTGAACAAATAATTAAAAATAATATGATGAATGATAAGTTGAAATCTAATGCAGATTCAAAAACTGAAATAATCTCTGAGCCAAATATTGATATTAATAGATATATCGAACATGTAGGACCATCAGAAATTTTAATTGATGCCCAGGTACAAATGCTATTCAAATTGATTTAGGAGAGAGTTAAAATATTAATGTTGTGTTTTTTATTTAGGACATATTATGTACAATAATTTCAGAAGAATATCCCACTGAGAAACCATTGACAGAACTTTATACTCTTTTGAATAATATAGAAGAATGTATTAAAGTGTGGACTTCGATTTTAAATATGTGCATCAAAGTTTTAGCAACATTGACAGTAGACATAGCAATTGCTATAGGTATAGAAAACATATTTATGATTTTTTTTCAAAGACAACATAAATTTATAATTATGAAGACTGGCTTGGCATACATGATTATTAACAGAAGCTTCTTCTATTTTGATTGCTTGCAGTTTGCCATTACCCAAACCAAATAAAAGACACATTGCCAAAGTTTCTAAGAATTTGGAAACATGATACATTTTCTACATTTATCAAAATTGGAGATAAGAACTCGATTTCACTAGACAACAGTTTACAAGTTTTGACTGAAAAAGCTGACGTTGATTATGAAAATCAGAACACAGATGACTATGTATTTTTGAAGGTAGTGTCAGCAAGGACAATTACATTGATTTCAGAATCTAGAAATTTTGAAGAAGTTTGGAGTTCTTATAGTCTCTTAGTCATATTTTTATTAGATGAAAACTTTTTAACCATGGACTCGTTTGGCGAAGAATGTTTGAAACTACTACGATTGGAGTGGAGTAATGTAAGCTTTATTTTTCATGAAGATAATATGATATATTGCTTTATTGGAAAAAGTTAGATTAAATATGGTGACATATATTAATTATGCGCCTATTTTTCTTCAATTTCGGAACTTTGCATACTTTCAGTAAAGTTGAAGCGCCAAATTTAATTCTTCGAAAAAAAAAAATTATTCTGAAATAATTTGAAAATTTGTTTCAGGTAACTCTACATCATTTATCTCAAAATATAAAAATAATAATGAAGCAAAGTCAAAATGCAAAACACACAGAATGTTCAGAAATAACATTGCTTCTGGAGTGGATGTCAGATTTTTGTGATGATATTGATTTGTAATAGTTTTAATTATAAGTATTAATTTAATTTGTTTTCATTTAATTATAAGTATTTTAATATTATTTATTTTAAACATAAAAAGAAACGCATTCATGTTAATTATGAAATATTTATTTTGGCAAGTTTAATATCAACAAAGCAAGTATTCTTTCCATAAATTAATTTACAAAGAAAGAGTTGATGCTAGTTTAATATCAAGTTTTATCATATTTATTAATAGAATATTTTACATATCATTGATTGACTAAGAAATTCACTATAATTTAAATTAATAATAAACTTAAGTTAATAAATTATATTTAGCAAAAAATTTAACTACATCTTTTAATATCTTATAATCAAACCCGAAACAGAATTAAATAATATGCCAATATTACTTTTAATTTAGTAATATATTTGATCCCAATAAATTAAATAGTATCACAGAAATTACAACATTGACTGCCGTAATAAAATTTTTATAAAGTCATTTAAAATCAAATTTTTTGTAAGAGAATTGAAAATTGAGACTTTCAACCCTTTAAAACGCATATTTCTCAAAAGCTCAAAACATCAACTATTAATAAGATTTGTTTCATTATAGCCAATGATAAGTGAGTTACACACATATGAAATATAAAAATTTTGCATTAGTTATCCCACAAGTAACAACAAATATATTAAACAAACAAATTGAAAAAAAAAGTGAAAAGTTTTAACTGGCTGACCAGACAAATGGTTCTAGTCTATCCTCTAAAGGCAAACAATTATTCAAAGTATTTAAACTTTCTAAAGTTTGACTTAAGAGCATATGACATTTCTTAACCTGATGTGAAACATCATAAACCTTTGATAGTTTTTCCGCGTACTTTGCATAACGTTTCTGGTTGTCCGTTAAACCAGCCATCAGACGATTTATATCTGCATCAGTCTGAATAAGAAAGAAATTTGAAACTATAAACGCAATATAATGTTAAATAATAATAAGCACCATTATTTGACTTTCGAGAATAATGAGCGGCTCGATAATAATAATACGATAAAGAGTTACTAAACTGAATACCAAGATTACTATCACAGAGATAATATATGTTTAATATAACTGGAGATGCATAAACAGTTGATAAATAATAAAAAGTGTATAGAATATAATTTATGTACGTTATAAATAAATTCAATACATACCTCTTTTATTTTTTGAACAATATTATTTTGTTCAGCTGCCACATCATTAGCCCTCGTTGCATAATGAGCTTGCATTTTAAGACAAAGGGCGCGTAGTGGTGCAGGCTGCAAGCGTTCTAATACCTATAACGTAATATAAATATACGATTTAATTACATCTTTCAACAATAAATCCAAAAAAGTTTCTTGCAAACTAATAACATTCTTCTTTGTTTTATAATTTGAATAACGATCTTATCATAAATAATCATCTTAGAAAAAAGTTTAGAAAATTATTTAGTCTTGATTAGAAGAACTTTAATCCGCTTAGAATCGACGACAACATGATAGTTTTAGCTATAACTTATTCAAAACCGTTTCCAATCTCATAATTACTCTAAATGTTTACTTGATTCGATTTTAAAAAAACGCATAATGCCATTATACAATATTTTCCTTACCTCTGGATCCCTATGAGATGGTAAATTCAAAGTCCCTCTCATAACAGGTAAAAACATTGGAATGCTTTGAAGTCTTTGAATGTCAGGATCCGATTCTGGTCCCCCTTGTGCAGCTCCTGATTTCACAACAACAATATTATGCGCCTTAGTTGCGCGTCCTAAAGCTGCAGAAGCGCTTGCTGGCGGCTGTTTGCTGTTTGAAGAATATTTGCCGCCTTGGGCCTGATTTTTGTTCTTGCCCAGGCCCGTGCTTCGCGACCTCGTCATTAGAGGTTGTTTGAGATTCTTGTTTTTTAATTTTGGTGAATCTGAAGAAAAATGATTAATTAAAAGTATAATATTTGAAAATGAAACTTAAACATTATAATACAATAATAATAATTCGATAAAAAGTGAGATTTTTGACTCAGTTGTTGGCTTTTTACGGCAATAATATGATTCTGACATTTTTCCTTACTAATGTTTATTCTTATTACTTATTTGATAATCGTTTAGATATAAATAAATATAGTAGTATGTGTTTAGGTGCTCATTAGTTTTAAATTCAAACTTCGAAAGCATGCAGCTTGAATCGTAACCGTGAAAAATTCCTAACTCGTACCGCTTTAATAGAGAGCGTTTTTTTAGTGGTACCAAAAACACATTTTTGAAAAATCTAAAGATTCTTATATTAATAAAAAAACTTAAAATTAAAAAAAATTCTTAATCATTAGCCAACTAAATCAGGATTTAGTAAATACCAAACATTGTATATAATTTTATTTACACTAAATATTACGGGCATTTTCCTTAGGGAGTTCCACTTAGGCAACCTTACTCTATATAGTCAATCGACCTGGTTGTAGCAGAGGCCAATGTCATAACCGTAGTATGCTAATAGTATCAAAATGCAATCAAATTCCGAATAAAAAGCTCTTGAATTATTTTTCTTAATATAATTTTTCAGTTGCTTTAGATCATTTGCCATGTTTCAAACCAAATAATGCAGTAATATTTATAGTTTCCACGTAAGTAATTAGAGCATACTGTATTATTTAGTACTAGCAAACCCGACGAACTTCGTTTCGCCACCAGGTGGTTTCGTGAGAAAGATGAAGAAATTTTTTGTTTGTTTTATATTTGAAAAGGAAAAATTTGATTTTATTATACAACAGTAATGAATTTATTTCGATTACAAAAATAAAGTGTTTTTTAGTTGAACTTCTCTAAGTAAATGAAAGTGAATCCACAAATTATCCGTTTCATTGAAGTGCTCTTTGGTAAACCACATTTTTTGTTTTTTGGTCTGACGTTAACACAAACAAAGCGGATGGTTTTCCAACTCGTGAACAGGCAACGTATAACTGCCCATGTGAAAAACAATGATTTTCTAAATAATCTATTTGAAATTTATCCCGCAAACACTAAGCGATTGGCCTTTCGACTTGTTATTGCGAACGCAAGGCGAACTGGAAATTGCAATCGTTTGAAGTCAAACGGAAGACCAGTCGGAATCATAGGTATGTCACCAAATCGCCAGAAATTTTTGATTGAATGGTGAAATTCAGTGCGTGTACATCATTATTCTTTGCGGCAAGAATTGCTCGTTGACTTAACCAAGCATAATTCTGATAATTCTCACTAATGTCATTACTCGAATTTTTAATTACGGTGCGTGAAGTTCCAGCAGCTTGCATTAAGGCACGATGCCATGCACAACTAATTTTCTTAGCTATAAACCTTGCGGAGCCCGAGAAAGAATGCAAAATTGTCGAAATCGGTTCGTGCGTTCTGGAGTTATTTTGTCAGGAAGGGTAACCCGACTTATTTTTATATATATATAGAAGATAGTAGGATTTATATCTGATTAACTTAATTTTCTACTCATTAATTTGCAATTACCTCCAATAGGTCGATTGACAGTGTATGATATATACGGCAAATCGGCGTCAGAACAGACGCTCGGTCCAGGAGATATGCTTGTAGGCCGCTCCATTTTGGCGGCCTCGCATCCGGAGGCAGCGATCGTGTGGCCGCGTACCAACCTGCCGCCACTGCGGGGGCTCTCGCTCCTCCTGGCGTTAGAACTTGCCTCCCGAGCAGCCGCCGCCGATGATTGCTCAGAACCCATGATTCGCCTGGATTAAATCAGTAATCTGAAATAAATATATTGCATTAATGAAAACCACAAATTTTTGAAAAAATTCGAGATCAAAAAAAGAAAGTGTCTTTTGTGTAACAATATAATAATAAAATTAGAACTTCCTGTCCAATAAGGGAATTTAAGTCAAGGCCTAATCTAAGAAAGTATCAGAAGTGTTTTTAAAGTTATTCACATATCTAATAAAAAATATGCAAATTATCTATGAGTTATATCAACTTTACTCATATATTCTTTTTCCTATTTTTAAGTTGCAAAATGCAACTTAGATTTAAATATATTTGGATTAAAAAAATATATGTATAACAAGATAAACCATACTATACTTAAGGTATTGATCTTCTATTACGAGGAAAGTAAATTTAAGTATGTGATGATAGGTATAAGGTTTTTTTTTATTAACTTGATCATGCACATAGGTAAGGTGTAAAACCAATTGTTCAGAAGATACAAGAGAGTAAATCTAAAAACTACATCCAATGATACTGTTTTTCACAAAGTTGAGGTGTAAAATGAGAAAAGACGTAGAATAAAAAAAAGAAAATTTCATTTATTATTGGAACTAAACTAACCATTAAAATCTTTTTTTTAAATATTCTGTGAAGTATTTGTTCTAGCAATCTGCATAAAAACTTTTAACATATTGCTGATATAAAAGTCTTGTCAAATGATCGCTTATTGAAATATAAATTTTACTCTAGTAGTAAGGTGACCATACGTCCCGGATTGGCCGGGATAGTCCCGATTTTCCGCCTTGCGTCCCGGCTTTTTCTAAAAGCAATATTTGTCCCGGTTTTAGGTGTTTTGTCCCGGATTGTCCCGGATTTTCAAAAATGTTTTGAATGCCAATATTTTTCTTAAGTAGATTTCAACTAGAAAATTTGAACCGAAAACACCCCCACTCTCGCTCTCGCGAACATTATAATCCGTCCCGGATTTAATGCAAAAAATATGGTCATCTTACTAGTAGTAAGCATCGAATTTTTCTATTTACTTCAAAATTATATTTTATTTTATATTTATTAAAAGCAATGGGCTAATTTGTAGAATTTCAAAACATATAAAAATTAGCTAATCTTTTCTAACCTATATAAAACAATTTCTTGCAATAGTTCACAGCAAATCTGATTATCTTAATGTAATTATCATTAAGAAGTAATGCATTTGATAAAATGTAAATAGTGACACATGTCGTGTAAAAAAATCGTGCTACTACGCTTGTTGAACAAAGAGGGGACTAGGTCAATTATGAAGGTACGCTCACAATTTCTGGTTATAATTTGATATAAGTTTTTGTTTCTCTAATATGCATGTGTATTTTTCTAATAATAATCATGTTCTTTATTAACAATTCTTTATGGAAACAAATATTTTTTCAATGATGAAAGATTGGTTACAGCATTGCTTCTTATCACTGTAATTAATTTTCAGAAATATTATTTGTTAAGGTGGTTTGAAGGACTAATGTGGTTCGCAATTGAAATATGTAATATTAATTTTAGAACACAGAAATTACAATATATAATAATTTTTCAAATACAACTACAGGTATATCTTATTTACTTAAGTTTTAAATAGAAGTCTCAATTTTCTATTTCGCCTAAAAATTTATTAGACATTTTTTAGAATAAGAATCAAATTTCAAACGGAAAGATAAATATAAGATGAAAATAGAGTCTAGTGGATACAACTTCATTAAGTTGACTTTTTCTTGATGATAGGGATAGGCTATTCATTGAGTAGTAAATTAAAATATATACTTATTTATACCTTTACTAGTTTTTTTTAAATTTAAATGCAATGTAAAATAAATAATGCATTTTCTAATTTTTCTTAATTTACTTTAAAAGACCTACAAAATCATTGATTCAAAAATAAAGCAACAATAACAAAATAATGATAAAATATTACAGTAATTTAGAGACGGTCAAGTTCATAAGAAGATATAAAATAGTTACATCCTACAATAGGATCGCATAATCAGAAAAACCGTTCAAAATGCCTTTTTGTCCGGGAACAAAAGAATGATCTGAAAATGTGCAAACTGTGACACACTTTTCATTTATCTCGTTAAAAGAACTTTTGAATAGATTCAATAAGCGGAAAATTGTGTATTCTTTCTATCGCAGCAACGTTGTCTTCACACAAAATAAAATCTTAAAACCCACTGAGCATCTAGTATATTTTTTGTATTCATATTGTTAACACGTGTATTAGTAAAATTTTATATTTTTATACCGCCTTTTTCAAAGCCGTTTAAAGCTTTGTAATATTTATTGCCGTTTAATAAAAACTATGTGTGATTAAGGATAAAATGAAAAAAATGCGTGATGTCTTAAAGGTCAACCGTTCAAATCTATTTCCAATTGAAATCGGTATAAAAAGTCAAATGTCACGAGTGAAATAATACAATGTTTGTTAAAATCAATACTCTAAGTTATATATTTTTTTTCTTATCAATTTTTAATCAGGCGATGGTGAATAGTGGAACTGTAAAATTTATTAACAAAAACATAAATGATACAATAATGAAGCATGATAAAAATGACATTGCTTTTGATATAGGAGACTATAATTTTACAGAATATTTCAGAAATTTAGATTCTAGAAAAACAGATTTGAAGATTGTTACGCACACAGCTAATAATGAAGTGACCAATTTGCAAAATCTCGATTCCGTTTCAAAGAAAAATGTATTAAGAAGAAAAGGCAATACAAGATTTTTGGATTTGTTCAGTATTATTAAATTTGAGAACAAACCATGTTCGTTGGAGTATGATCTTTTAGAAACAACTGATGGAACGTGTTATCATAAGACTGAATGCGATCGCCTTGGAGGACTCGCGGCTGGCAGTTGCGCTAAAGGTTTTGGTGTCTGCTGTATTTGTAAGTGAAATAAAAAAAGCACATTAATATCGTCTAAAAGGCACATTATTTTATATATCTCTAACACGAAGTCCGCAGGAAAGTGTTTAGATCCTATAGTTCAGTTAAGAGAAGTACCAAACTTTCTTGACAACGAGCTAAACATAAATTAAATAATTTAAGTTCGAAAATTCTAATAATATATGATTATTGATAGTATTATTATAAATGCCATTTCCCAGTTTCGCTAAAATGCGGTGACATGTCTCTACAAAACGTGAGTTACTTCGAGTCTCCTGGTTTTCCCAAACCAACTTCATCAAAATTAGCTTGTGCTATAACAGTGGTGGCTCTACCTGGTGTACGACAATTTAGACTCGACTTTTTATCGTTTGAGGTAACACAATAAACATAGATAATGAAATAAATTAATATATATTAAAACTCCATTATTTTTAAAAGATGCAACCGCCAACAAATGGAGATTGCATAGAGGATCAACTTCTAATTTCTGGACAAATGGGAAACAAGTTGCCTCCAATATGCGGAATAAATACGGGACAACACAGTAATCATTTACAATGAAGTTACTAGTGCTACAATACATTGTTGATAACGCCCAAAAACAGAATTTAAAATTTATATTTTTACACGTTTTGGTTTCTAATTTTAAAACATTTCGACTCATAAATACGCAGGCAAAAAAATTTATAAGCCGCTCAATAGCCAAGACAAAGCTTCACAGATATGAAATCATATAAAACTTATATTTCGATTTTTGGGCCAAATCAATAAATTTGCATATAGAAGTCAATATAAATATATAGAGTCTTACAAATTAACATATATTAATAGGTATATATTTTAGTGTATTTGGACGTATCACAGTCCAACTTCCTCATGGTGAGCGCCCTAACAAATTCAGAACGTTTGCGGCAGTATCGTATTAAGATAACGCAATTGACACCAGAACAAAATGTACCAGATGGTTGCTTGCAGCACTATGATGACCTGGACGGACGTATTGAAAGTTTTAATTATGCAGATTCATCGAGAATTCTCGACGCCAGGAGGCCAGGATATTTTGTAAGTTTCAAACTTTTTCCACCAAAGCCAAAGACTTCTTCTTAGATAACTGTGTAGACAAACATTATCTTATGAGTTAGTGCCAAATACTATATGGGATTAGATATTTCCCCACAATATAGACGCACAACGGAATGTTACAAACGCTGGTGAAGTTAATTTTTCGCTGTTATAACATAATATCTCAATATATGGCAAAAAGTGCGACCAAGATCTTTGGTTCAACAAATAATTTTATTAACTAGACTATCCTGGCAAATTTGAAAATTGAGTCAATGTTACCAAAGAACGATATATTTTATAAATGTCTACTTCATATCTCAATGCCATATATGTACATTTAAGCATTTGGAAGCAGAAGCTTTACTGCATATGCATGAATTAAAGAACTCAAAAACATCAATTTTGTATGATATTTAGTTTGGTCCAAGTAGTTTTTTAACGTCAGCTATAATTACGGTTAAGAGCGACGGGACCTGAATCAGAAGTCCCGGGTTCGATACCCACTTCGAGCAGCCTGTTGTCAGGCAGCAGTGACAACGATTTTCACTTGGAAATATAGATAGCAATATGTTTCCAAGGGAAAATAGCCCTCACCCGGCATTGCTGCACCAATAAAAAGTCAGCCCTATTAGATTAATTCTAATAACAAAATCATCAAATATGGATGGATTAACCGTTGGGTTACCATCTAAAAAAATACGAAGTGAGGAGAAGTTTCAGCCCAACAGCTCATAGGACGTAAGGTTCTGATTGCTGTTAAAAAATAAAAAAAAATGCTATAATTAATTTTTTAAGCAAAATCACATAATTTTTCAACTTTTCAGAATAACATGAATTACGCAATCTGCATAACACGGAAACCCGGCCGCTGCGCGGTGACTTATTTCAATGCAGATTTTTTCCAAATTTCAAACGTTGGCCTAGGTAAGAACATAATAATAATAATTATCACAGATTATGATGATAATAGGTAAAAACTAAGGTTAAATAATGTCTTTCATATGATTGAATAATAATTGATTTAAATTTAATTAATTACCGTATCACTTCTATATCTTGCATTAAAAAATTAGATTGCTTGCCAACTTTTAATGCTACTAATTTTTTTATATTGCTCATTACAAGAATATAAATAATACTCTTTAACATGTTAATTAACAGATGGAGAACCAATAATTCCTCCTGAACAAGCAGGAGTTGAGGTGTTCAACTGTCCTGATGATTTTATCATCATCAATGGAGTTCGACTTTGTGGAGAAAGACTGAACGATGCTTCATTAATTGAAGACTTTACAATAGATGCACCAGTTGTTGGTAAGAAAGCAAAATAGCTAAATTAAAAACATTATTTTCAATCATTATAGATATGACATCATTGTTATGGAACATATGATATTAGTTACAGTACAAAATTTGCCCATATGTAGACAAAGAAAATTAGTAAATTAATGTAAATTCTCAACTTCTGCGAAAATAATATTTAATAAATATTTTGAGCTTGTTTAAAAAATGAAATCGAATACCTTTGTGAAAACAGTTGCAAATCAAGTCTATTTTTATATGGTTGGCAGTATAATCTTATACAATGATTCATCTTCTGTACGAATGCGTATTTTCTATTCATTATGGCAAGAACTGATCAATATTAAATTATTCTAAAACAACTACGTCTCAACATACTATAAGAATCAAGAATTAATTATTTAAACTATTTTTCACCGAAGGGGAGCCCGACAAATATCGACAAGAAATATTAAAAATTTATTTAACATGATATTTGAGCAAAGTATTTTTAGAAAGCCTGCAACTAGCAATTATGCTGGTTTGGGGTAATTTGGGATGCATAACATAGAAAAATATATCGTCTATGCTTAAAATAGTACACGTATTCTATATTCATATTTTCATTGATAATTTCATTCTATTCGTGTACATATTTATTTTTTACCATAGAGTGTGGTAAATTAGGGTGTTTTTAAATAGAAGAATAAACTTTCGAAATAGGAGTAGAAATTTATTAAATTGGATTTTTATCCTTTACGATTCGTGTTAAGAGCAATATTCAAATAGCCATAAAAATATCTGAAAATTCATTGTTGACTTAATCTGTAATCAATATCTACGAACTTAAACTAAGGTTGAAGTACATAGTTATGAATATGTAAAAAAACCAATTCGATTCTGAACAAATACTTCATTATTAAACTCGTATAATGAAGATCTGAATCGATTCACGAGCACAACTGGGTCAACTGATAAAGAATATTGCACGTAATTAATAATGCAAGTTAAATTGCAACCACGACATGAATGTCAATTGGAATAGGGAAGTAACGATCTGATTTGGAAACTTTTCAGAATATGGTGCAGGACCAATAATGCTTCCTTTCCGATCAAATGGAAACGTTACTGGAAGAGGTTTCAGAATACTTTTTCGCCAAGAGCCGTGCAAGATGGAATAATTTGATAAAACAATATCATGATTATTCTATTCATTAAAATCACAATTTTCATTCATTTTTTCCTCGTACTTTACATTTGGCATCAGATTCATTTAGAATAAGATTGCAATGATTTTTAGTTTTATTTATTTATTTAAAAATATATTTATTAATTTATTATATTAGAGTGAGTTATAATATTGCACATAGATTGCTTCGAAATTATAACAAATTAATTTATTTATTCATTAATATTGTAGTTTGATAAATAGGTTGGTCATTAGAATAATAAATTTAAAATACTAGATAAATTAAGAATCAATTCATTTTCTTATTACAGATATATATTCGTTCAAAATTAATTTACTAATTTATTGTCCTAGAGCAAGTTTAACATTGTATATGCTGATGATTGTTTCATAATTACAATAAATTTACTTATTTATTATTATTATTCTTATTCATATAAATTCATATTTAACTTGCAAAATTTTATATTTCTAATGTTGAAAATAGTGATTTCAGCATGCACAAACAAATATGAGGTTTTTCAGGTGAGTCATGATACAGTAAGAATACTAAATGAATACTTGAATACTAGGTATTTAAATCTATTCACAAATTATTGCTTAAATGTTATCTTTATATTTGCTTTTTGTTTGAATTGAGGCACATAATTACAAATATTAATGTGTCACTAAGAAAAAGTCAAAGTCAAGTCACTCATTTTCAATAGAGTACTGGCCCGTGGTCAAGTGGTTAGAAATCTAGGATTAGATCAGAGGTCTTAAATTCGATGAAGTTAAGCACTCGGCAATTAATTGAATATGTTTTCAAGTGAAATAGCCTTTACCCAAAAATGCTGCAAAAATGTATCGCTGTTACAGAAATTGTAATACATAGAGAAGGGACAACGGTTTGGTTGCCATATATAAAAACTGACAAAGTTTAGTAATCATGACAATAAATCATACAACCTGCAATGCGAAATGGCAACAGAAACCCACTGAGCCCTTATTACTCGAAATAATTGCACCTTTGTGTATTAATGTGTACGCTCTATGCAATTATTATTACCAATAAGCATTATTATGATATTAACTTAATGCGAATCTGACGTCACTCGACAGCACGCGTCCAATTCTTCTTAATAATTTAGGTTGATATTTACTGGAGTATCAGTCCCACGCCTATTCTGTGAAACCTAGTGACGTAGGTGTAAGTACAAATTGTGTTACAGAAATAGTACGGTATAAAATTATTATAACACTAAGAAACAATAGTAGCAATTGAAATTGTTTACGAACTCTAAATAGATAACATTCGACGAGATTCAATCGCTTATGATTTATTTAGAAACGAATTAATAGTAAACCTTTTCATAGTTGTGTACTTGAAATATTATGTCCATTGACGGAAGAGCACACGTGTCTGCAATTTGCAGTTTTAAGATGTCGATGAAATTATATGAATTAAAATCTATATCATATGAAAATCAGATTTCATATAACCACAACAGAGGTATCGATTCAAATTCGATCAACTTCAACATGCTCCATAAGAAAGAATAAATTTTAGCATCATTTTAAATTATAAAATATTTTTAATTATTTAAATTAAATTTTCACGTTTTAATTAAAAAATGTGAAAATAGTCCGCAAAATTTTGATTTTTTTTCGCAATTACCACATCGATCATTAAAGAAAAAATTGATAAAAAGTCTATTTTATTAACAAAATTGCTATTCTGTATAAGCGAAATGCAGAATAAACAATAGACAATATATATTATTGACTAAAATTGTGAAATTTTTAAAGTGGTTAAAACTATTAGATTTGAACTTGAAAATCAGAGAATCATCGTCAAGCAGTAGTGACATCAGATTTTATATGGAGAGATTGTTAGTAATATGTTTCCTTACCCTGCATTACAGCATCAATAAAAATTCATCACTATTATAGAAATTGTAATAATAAAATCCTTCATAAAAAGACAAATGTTTGGGTTGGTATCTATAAAAACCGACGTTTTTTATCTAACAAGTAGAATCATCACATCAGCTCTATAGGACCTTTAACTTCTGACCGCTGTTCAATAAAAAAAATGGATGTAGAAATTAATTGAGTACATAACTTGACATAAAAATTAATAACATATTGATGGTATGAATTTTCAGATGGAATCACAAATATTTCAAATCATTCATAAGATTCTAATTTTTGTTTGAATCTGTCCACATTGCAGAAATTTAGTAATGGTTATGATATGTTATTGTGAAGGCAACCCAATAGTTGTCCTGTCCTAGTTGTGGTTTATTATGATTATACTATATGCTATCTATAATTTTTTTTATTATCTCTTTTATTTACAACTGTCCAGTAAAGGACATTCAATAAATTTGATGAATTTACAATAGTCGGCCGAAAAGGGACATTGTATACTACAAGGGCATGTTGGAAAAAACAACTCAGTAGTTGTATCTATATATGTATGCTATCTATAATATATTATTTATATCTATATTATATTATCTTCGAATTTTTTATGCAGCAATGCCCACGAAAGGTGATTCTCAGATGAGATTATATTTGAGATCTACAACCTCAAGTGGAAATTTGATATCAAGTTGTCTGATATCGAGCTGGTTGACGTTGGGATCAAACCCGCTTATCAGATAATTTTCTAAGCTAGAGTGTATCAGGTCGATATATTTAAATGATAAATAAAAAGTGTATTCACAAGTGATTTACTTATTAATATTTATTCATCGGCCATTGAAAAATCATCAATTTTACAGAATAACAGAAGTGCTATCACAGGATAGTTATTCTTCACAAGCCATACTTCTGAATTGTCTACGATTAGATTGCTATAAAAAAAACTAAAGAAAATCTTTTACAGAAATTGTGAAAATATTCATCACATAGAGATAACACTACTGTTTGATTTGTCATCAATAAAACTAGACGTAGTTAGTTAAGTAAATCATCAGAACAGCTCATAGAACTCTAAAGTTCTGATCGCTGTTCAATTAATATATAAAAAATATTTATTTATTATTTAAGTTTATTTGAGTTAATATCGCAAATGTCTAAAATACTGTTAAATACAAGTTACAAGTTACCAATATCACGCAAAATAAACTAGTAATTACAAAAGCAAACACTGCAAGCGTAGGTAAATAAAATTCAAATTATCTATTACCAATACTGATCGTCAATAACTAAAGCCAATGCAAATAAAAATTAAATTTAAAACCATCTATTCCTACCAGGTTGGCGATATGATCTAACTTGTAAGACACGATAGGTTACGTTCCATCCTTCGTAGTATGTATTAGTCAAACGTCAGAGTATCATTACCGTCGAAGCGCCATGTGATACTGGACACATGGAGGGGCATATTGGAACGGAAATTGATTTTATTATGTTGTCTCCATTTGGTTTCCATGGCGGGTAACATGTGCATTATTTATTACATATGCGACTTACCGGCGAATGTTCGTAGTGGAAGACGAAAAAGAAGGCTAAATAATTATCTGTTTTTTTGCAACATTAAAAACCAAGGGTGGAATAGAATGATTATTTGAATTTGGTAAATTTGGTCCTGAACACTAGCCCTATTTCTCGAAGGAGGAATTCTGACATGCCAATTTCGTTACACAACGCTTCAAGTCATTCCGAAACGTCTGCGACTAATATTTAAAACACATTATTTGTAGATATGTTTGTCTCTTTGTTGTTTGTTAGCCAAAATTTGACCTTAAATAAGTATGAGACCAATTCTCGGGGTTAAATAATTATATTATACCGGTCTCTTTTGTTGAATGAAAAAACCTAAAACTATAAATCTTTGCTATCCTCCAATTGGGACAAATGTCTAATATCACTGATATCATATAGGTGCAAACTTTTTGTTGCCGCTTTGTTAACACCTTAAGTCGAACTAAAGTTAATATTACGATATTTGTGCCATTTAGAGGTTAGGTTGCCCGTTCAAACAGCAAAGACAACTTGTGACCACCAGCCCATACGATTATTCAACAAAAGAGACCGGTAGCATAACATAACTATTTTATCCCGAGAATTTGCACCTTAATCTTAATTGATTAAGTCGATTATTAACACGTATTGGACAGTTAAAAAAATATTCAGGACAAACAGAGATCTACCAATTGATTGTTTCATATTTTAAAATCATGCAAATATATATATATAAAAAGAAGAGTTTAAGAAAAGAAGATTCTATTAGAACTGTACCGGGTTTATATAAACTATAATGCGATATTTTACACCAAACAATTGGTAACAAATACTAATTGTGAAAATTTTATCATTTTCAAGTTAACAGAAACGTAATATAAACTATACTTGTACAAATAATCTTTAAAATTAGCATACAATATTTTGACATATAAATTAATCTTCATTATGCACATAACTATTAGAACATCCAGAGCATAGCAACCAATATGCTTGCTCTTAATACAGATAATTATTAAGCAATTCACGTAAAAAAATGATAAATAGTTTATAAACTTTTTATTCGAACTGTATAATATATATATATATATCATCAAAATATATTATATATATATATATATATATTGTTATGTAATATATATTAAAAAAACACCCATTGTTCTTCATTTTGTGATTCATACATTTTACAGTACATTACAAATATTTAGCTTTGCAAATGTTTTACTCACCAAATTTATCGAGGATACCAGAATATATTAGCTTTCCTCATTAGCGTTGTATCAATTCATAATAACGACACTAATGATAAAAGTCAACTTAAATTTACACAAAAGGTTTCATGACGTGTATCGTTTCATACATTTGGAGGGGCATTAGTAAAAATTTATTAGTAATAGAGCAGAAGAACAAGTAATGAAATATGAAGATCTAAAAATAACTTCAGAATTCTGAATTTATGAATTTTAATATTCATCATAATTAGTTAGAGTTGGAGGTTACATTTGTTAGAGGTGCTTTTGTTGAAACAAGTTTGTGTTC